GATTTGCTGGTGATAATGGTGCGTAATGCTCATAATGGCTCTTGAGCTCTTTCAGGCCATCTGTCTGCCTACTTGATGCTCTTGCTTTGATTTACCGGTGCTGTGCCCAGCATCCATCAGGCCTCACCAGCAAGGTAGCCAAAATCTGTGCAGAAGCTGAGTGAATTGTCACACTGATCACACTAAAAGTATTTTTAAAAGTTCTTTTTTTCCTAGCGATTCAAGGCTACATTCCCAGCTTAGAGGTTTGGATCAAGTTATAAATTGTGGTGGCTTTTAAGTAAATTTTTAATGGTGAAGGATATGATAAATTATCCAGTTGGTTGGGCATCCAGACATATTTCCAGGAGCAGTCCAATTTATTGCTGAAATATGAGGTTAAATCATTATCAGCTTTCACAACTTCACTGAGATGTAATAAAACATTATCCATCATCCAGAGCAGAACACTTGAAATCATTCTATTTAATATATTTTCAATAATTGAAGTGGAAACTAAACAATTTATCTCTAGTGACTTGTTCTTAAACTTGGTGAAAGTGAGGAAACATGGTATTCAGTGTAATTTATTAAATTTCATATTTTGAAGGTGTAAATCAAAAGAGAGAACTGAAGTGAATATTTTTTTTCTGGAATAGCACTCTTAAATTATTGAACTAAGTACAATAGATACTGAATGCATATTGTTTAAGTATGTGGTGACTTTTCTTAAGACTAGATGTGCAACTGGTAGATTTTCTAAAGAAAGCAAAAGCACATGACAATTTCTCTAGCACTTTTTCTCTGGTAGCCGAATAGCACCTGCAGGATCATGTTTCCTTAGCCCTTTAACAGTTCTCATTGTACCAGTCTCTTCAGACAAATAAGCAATTGATACTGGGAGTCAATGAATTTCAGCTTCATTCTGTCAATGTATAGGGAGTTAATGAGGCCTGGGAGGCTGTCTGAAGCACCAGCTTGGAACCTTGCTGCTTAGAGTGCTCTGCTTCATTTAAAACTTCCCTGTAGCAGGGTGGGCCTTTGCTTATTTAGAGATTCAACGTATCAGAGTTCCCTGCTTGGCTCTGGCACAGTCTAAATATGTGAAGCTGTTCTTTGAGTTCCCGTGCCAGAAGTGTTCATCTTCGAAAGGGAGGAATTAAATCTTCCTTTATTCAGTGCTGCCTCTCTCCTACTGCCCGGGTCAGAAGCTCCTGTGTTTTCTTGTAATGTGAGACATAGCAGGCTTTAGATTTTGATGGAAAATTACATATTGTGTAGAAAATAGCCTGTATGTAGACAGGCTTCAATATGGTTTGAATGCCTTAGTTCTTATGAAGGCAACCATTGATACCTTTTAACTTTTTTCCTCTTACAAAAATAAAAAATCCACTAGTTACAGGTTTATTATCCAGTAAGATCTTAAACAAATAGTTAGCCTCAAATAAAAAAAAATCTAAAGCTTAGGTAAATTTTGAAATTCTACCATTATTGAAACCGTCAAAGCAAAGGTTTGAGATTATGAATCCTCATCCCTTTATCATCCCAAGTTTAGTTATTGTTTCGTGTAGTCCCCTAATTACAAGAGTGCAGAAGCTAATTACAAAGCATTTATATGTGAAGTGATTAAAAAAACC